TATCGGCAAGTGCGGAATGCACGCCACTGTTTTTTTCTCTCGAGCTGAGATTTTGTGTATTAGTATTAATACACTGTGGCATTCACCACACAAAATTTGAGAACAATTGGTTTATAACTCCAAGAGATATTAACAAAAGATGAAAAAATAAATTCAACTTCAACACCCTGTATTTCGGAAAGGGTTCAGATTTCGAAATAAGTTTATATAACAAAGTCCCTTTAATTTTATCGGATCTACCTTTTCCTGAATTTTTTCAGAATAAAAATGGGACACCCTGTATTTTGGAATACGTTATCCATGAAAAAATAGTCCCTACTAAAAAAAATATCATACCCCAAATTTTATCACTCAATATTTTTTTGCCAGTGAAGTTACAGGAAAAATAATATAAGTATTTGTAACTTTTAATGTATCTCCGCAGAGAAGCGTCCTTTCAAAAATTTTTATAGAGCAAACTCTCCTTCAAATATCAGAATCTGGAAATATCCATGCAATGAAGAGACACCTGTTTATTAAATATTTGTGACATAATCAGACAAACGCTCTTCACAAGTGGCCACGGTGGGGATCATTCTCTCTGAAAGGGAGTGTGTAACGTCCCAAGAAGGAAAATTATCATGTATAACTTAATACGCTAAGACATTGTACCGACCCTTACATTCGTATGAAATAAGTTATTAGTTGTAGTTTTAGTGTTACGAAATATTACCGAATTAACTAAATAGCAACCTCCTTAATTCTTGTAATATTAAATATGATGGAGACGAACTACGAAGACGGAAGACGCACAATAAACTTGTTGAAAAATCAAACGCTGTTTGAATATACCACATAAGAAACAGAAATTTAACTGTAGACATCCACCACTCAAACATAAATTCTAAAAGACAGATGGATGGAGAAGGAATTGCACGGAAGATATCCTAATACATTAAAGCAGCTGCATACAGATAAGCATGGCTAAATCTGGAAACTTATTCCCAGAAACGGAAGGCTTTATGTGTGCCATCCAGGACCAAGTAATTCCAACAAGATTGTATTTGAAGTATATAATTAAAGACCCAACGATCCAACATCAAATTGCTGACTGTGTGGAGAAGCTAATGAAAACATTGAGCACATAATTTGCAGTTGAAAAATACTCGCACCAAAAGATTACATTGAAAGACATAACAACGTTGCTAAAATTATACATGTCGAAATCGCTATGAAATATGAATGTTTAGAAGAGCATCCGCCATACTACAGATATACCTACACCGAAGGCAATATTAGACAACGACCTTTGTAAAATATACTGGGACAGACATTTATGGACAGATAGGACTATCCTACATAATAGGTCTTCTAAATAAAAAAGAAAACAAAATACACCTTATCAATGTAGCCATCCCTGCACCTGTAAATACAGGGTGTATTTAAATGCAGGGGCACAAATGATACCAGAGATTCCTTCGGTGAAAATAAGTCGATTTAACTTAACATACCTATATCCCAAGTCGCATAATAAAAAAGGTACAGGGTGTCAAAGTGAAAAATAAAAAATGGTTTTTCCTTATTAATTTCTATAATTTTAGTCAGAAATGTTTCAAATTTTCAACAGAGAGGTTTTTTAATGATGGGAAAAATAATGTAATAATGATTTTTGAGTGTCGAGTACGAGGCGCCCTCTGCAGGCAACGTTTTGCATTGGATACGTAGTAACTTTTCTGCCAGCCCCCGTATACCGCTTTTAGTAACAAAATATGAAATATTGGACTTTTTTTAACAAAAAAGTTTTTTAACATTTTTAATAAATTCAGAACGCATTGCCTCACAGTAATTATTAGTTGTGGATCTATTTTAAAATTCAACCAAAAGGGCGCGCAGGAATCAACTGAGACAACATTATTTTTCCTGTTTTAAATTTTTCTTTACTATTTTTGAGTATTATTTGCATATGTGAATACACTTACTGCATAATTTCTATTTAATTGTTTTTTCGGTGTCTTTATTAAAAAACACATTTTCTTGTGCATGTGAAATTATTTAAACTCTGCATTAAAGAAATCTCGTATGAAATAACAGTTCAGGTGAAAAAATAATGCAAAATACTTACCTATTTATTGCTACCTTAATAATAACTATTAGAAAAAAGAGCAAAACAATAAAACCAAGAGTCACTTAACAGTCAATAGATAATTTAAGAGAAATAATTGGCTGACAATAACAAAAACAAGATTTTTTAAAGGATATTTTTGAAGTAATTTCCATTTTCCTGTAAGCAAAGTCTAATTCTACGATTAAAATTACGACGAACTCTTGAAAAAATATGTATGTCATTCTTTACTTCCTCAGCTGCTGCAAAAATTCTTTGACGAAGCGTCTCCACACTATCAATAGGGTTGGAATAAACAATATTTTTTTATTGACCTCATAAAAATAGTCCATGGGTATGAGATCCGGTGATCGCGCAGGCCATTTGACTGGTGCATCGTTCCCTCGAAGTATCCATCTCCCAGGAAAATTTAAATTTAACCATTGTCTAACAGTTAATGTACCATGAGCAGGAGCTCCGTCATGTGCGTATCACATGTGTTCACGGATAGCTAGTGGCACGTCTTCAAGCAATATTGGGAGTTGCTCATTTAAAAATCTCAAATATTCCGCTCCGCCGAGACGCCGAGGAAGAATAAACGGACCAATAAGATAATCTTCTACGATTCCTACATTTAAACTAAAATTGTGTTGAAATTTCCACGTACAAACTTGGTGAGGATTTTCGTCAGACCATGAGTGATTATTGTGATGGTTCACTAAACCATGACTTTGAAATGACGCTTCATCACCAAACAAAATACTGGATAAAATATTTCTGTCTTCCCTTGAATTGTCCATATACTATTAACAAAAATCTATCCTGTTAGGTAAATCCGTAGCAGTCAATTCCTGCACAGGTTGTAGATGGTAGGGATTTAAAAGATTATCATTTGTAATTTTCCAAATCGTAGTATGTGAAACGTTATAGTCTGTCGCCAATTTTCTGGTACTAGTTTCAGAATTCTGATCTTGTAAATTGGCAAGGACAACTTCTTCAAGTTCTACATCGCGAATAAGACGTCTTCTGCCAGTACCCTTCAAGACAAGGTTGAATGTGTCCGTTTCCTCGAAGAAGTCTTCTTTCTACCGCCGCAAAAGTTTTTCTAGCAGGAACACGACGATTGGGATATCTGGTTATCCGGAATGATAAAGTCATACAGTAGCAGCACAGTTCTTATAACATTTAAAAAATACTTGCATCATATCGACATACTCGTCATTAGTATACATAATTTGTTATTTTATTCAATTATTCCAAAACTATTTAATATCTAGGATGCAGGTAAATAGTGACTAAAATCAATTAACACTTTAAGTTAATACTTCAAAATTGCAATTTACAAGTATTATCAACTGACATTTATCTACTCGATTTTTTTATTTATTTAAGCAACTCCAACCTTGGTATTCGTGGAGGTATAAATCCGTAACACTTATTTATGGAATTAAAAATATCTCCTCAACAGTTGGCTTTAGCCATTTTCAATAAGTATAGCTTTTTTGTTCAGAAATGTCCAATATTTCATATTTTGTTACTAAAAACGGTATACGGGGGTTGGCAAAAAAGTTACTACATATCCAATGCAAAACGTTGCCTGCAGAGGGCGCCTGGTATTCGACACTCAAAAATCATTATTATATTATTTTTCCATCATTAAAAAATCTCTGTTGAAAATTTGAAATATTTATGACTAAAATTATAGAAATTATTAAGGAAAAACCATTTTTTATTTTTCACTTTGGCACCCTGTATCTTTTTTATTGTGCGACTTGGGATATAGGCATGATACTATTACTATTAGTATCATGGGATATAGGTATATTAGGATAAATAGACTTATTTTCACCCAAGGAATCTATGGTATCATTTGTGCCCCTCCATTTAAATACACCCTGTATAAGCAAAAAACACACGGAAAAAATAGAAAAGTACTTACCTCTAGCTCATGAAATGAAAAATATCTTAGGCCTTTGTGATCTCAAAATCATCCCGATCATCGTAGGGGCCACTAACGCCAAACAATTTTAAGAGGAATTTGGAGCGATTGAAACACCAAATAAATTTAATTATCGATGCAGAGGTCCTTAATCCTCTCAATTTGCAACATAGTAAGAAAAGTTTTAAATATGTATAACAACCTGACATCAATAAGAAAACTCATGTCTTGTCCTACACAGAACCATCATCTTAAGACACCGCTTGGATTTTCTGTACGACCGTTATTTCCAGAATAATTGATTGCCATAGTCAAAAATTATTTTTTTGCTTTGATCGACCATAACTCAGCGACAAATCATCGTACAGGGCTTTGGAAGCGCTCAAATTGAAGAGAATTAAATTTTCTAAAAGAGCTTTATTTTTTAGTGAAATTACCAAAAAAAATTGTTGGTCCATAGGCCTTTCGTTTCCTTATAATTACTCAAAAACTGCTGACGTTTAAAAATTTTAAACTCCAGATCCGAAAACTAAAAACTTGAAGCTTCAATTTCCTTTTTTTGTATTATCTCTACGACCATTTCCCCCCAAGTTACAGCTCATTGAATATTAAACAAAATTTTGGGATTCTTTTAATACCCCTTAATTTCTGTGCCTAGTGTATTAACTTTCAAGTTTTCTAGCAAAACTCTACCACTATTATTATAGCAACTGTTACTTTTTCAGTTGGCATCACCATAACTTCTTTAATTATTATTATTTCCTATATCTTTTAATAAAAGAAAGTATTAAAATTTGATTCTAATTTGCTATAAATGTAAGTTTTACCATAACCAACATTTTTATAAACAGTTAACTTGTATGAATAACATTTATTTAAGTATGACCTATAAGAACTTTATTTTAGTAACATGATTAAATAGTGTATAAATGATAAATATTTACAAAGTATGGTTATATACAACAATTAAAGTGAAGAGTTTTAGTATCTTCTCTGTGATGACTGTTTACTGTATAATACTGGCTGAACATTCGAAGCTTGACCAGGTTGATCAGGTTCAGGATGAGCAGCAATCCATTCTAGAGCCTTCTGTATAGCTGGAGGAATGGGAGGTGGAGTTGGCAAATGATCTCCTTGAGGTTGGAAACCATCTTCATTGGCAATATAATTTAAGGAAATGGGGGTACCATCTGAATCTGTGTACTGTACGGAGCCTTGAACTTCTGCCGCCTCGTTATCTGATCCTGCATTTTTTATTTGGCCCTGCTCCTGGGCAACTATACCATTACCAGTTTCAAAACTGAAAATAATTAGTTTATTAGTTGTGTTACTATCTAATGGAAAATGATTTCTACACAACTAAATTGGTTACATTTTTATAAAATTAAATCTTTACAAAAGTCTAAACGGAGAACCAGAAAACAACTTCATTAATAGTAATTGAATACTTATATCTTCAGTTTATTAATTAATGTTTTTTTTTTCAAATAATGTTTTGCAACTCAAATTCTCTCTTTTATAAATATAAAATGTAATTTACCTCCACTGGTATGATCCGTCTGCGTTAACACCTTCATTATCGTATCGAATAATTGGAATTGGTTCACCTTGAGGTTGTTGAGAATTTGAAGTTGATATTAATGCCAAAACTACTAATATAACCTATAAAAATAAAAATGTATAAAACAAATTATCTGACAGAAAACAATAACAATTAGCTTTGAACTTAAATGAATATAAAAACCATTGTCCCAAACACGTGACAAAAAATAAATAAATTCTAATCAAAATTTGCCACCTTGCCAATTTTAAAGCGAATTTTCATAAAGAAAATAAATTAAAAGACACTAAGTTGAACACATTCGCACAGATTAACATGTCCTTTTGAAATTATTATATATTCACTTATCAAATCTATCACTTAAATTACCTACCACTTTCATTTTGGTGTTAATATTTAAAGACAACTAACCCCGTTAGCGTCACTGTGGTATTTATATTTTCCAATGCATCCCTACCCAGCATGTTCCTCCTTAAAGTCGCTGTTAAAAGATTAAATAATAATGAATACATGCAACACACATGAACTTTAAAATTTGTGACGAAATGCGAATTGAAGATGACAGTGCAATGACTTTCTTACATGCGTTAGATGGGAACTGACATTTAGGAGAAATGTTTTCATTACATCGAGACGCTATTGTTGTCGTAGAACCAAGAAACTCTTATATAAACATACTATTTAAAAATTTTAAATTTCAGTAACTTTCAGTTTCCATTCATTAATCTGTAGAATAAATAATGGTTGACAAACGTTTGTTATATAAGTCCTAAATAAATCGTGAGATTTAGATTTAAAACAATTTAGTATATTGTAAACGACACACAATAACATATTTACTTCTATGCAAAAAAACTTTTTATTAAATACCTGGTGGTCCAAAGAACTGGTCACCTTTCAAAGAAAGACCGAAATGTGTATTTTTTTGACCTGTAGAAATATTTATTTTTTACATATAAATACAATGGCAGCAGAAGTGGAATTTGTCGTAATGGAAAAGGGAATTTGTAAAAGATATATATCCCCTTTCTTTGCAAACAAAATTACCTTATATCGAAATTTCTGTGGAAAATATATTTTTCAAACTAGTCCGTGATGTCGTGTTACCCAAATTAAGGAGTTAATTCTATCGTTACATGATTATGCAATACCGTTAAATGTTTAGCTCGTTAAATGTTCAAATATACTAAAGTAAAAAGTATATGTCAATTCTGAAAATTTTGACCATTTCCAGTTAAACCGAAAGCAACAAAAATTAACTTTAATAATTATTAAATTAGTACATTTGCTGAAAATGATCTTATGCCTTGTGTTTTCGACGTTCGCAGAACGAACTGCAGGAATGACTCTATGGTTTAGGTCATTTGACGTATTTTTATGAAATAAAATATCATTAGATTTTATAAATTGTGGAATTTTAACAAAAGATCTGCATCCATTCAAGATTCAGTTAATCCAGGAATTGAAACCAGGCGACTATTTAATGCGCTGGATGTTCGTTGATTGCATATTAGAGGATCAACAAGCGGACCGTGATTTTGCTAAGAAAATCATCTTTAACGATGAGGCGTATTCCCATCTTAGTGGGAATGTGAACAAGCAAAACTGACAAATTTGTGACAATTCTTCGGTTATGACATGGATTTGGATGACATTTGATTCCAACACGAGAAATTATCCACTTGTTACGCAGAAATGTAATGGATGACTCATCTCACGTAACAAGAAAGTGACTTGGCCACCAAGATCATGCGATCCTACGCTATGCGACTTTTTTCAATGGGCATTCGTATAGTCTAAAGTTTATTCTGCTCAAATGAATACGATTACTGAATTAACGGCAGAAATTCGGAGATATATCAACGAAATTCAGCCGCAGGTAGGGGAAAGCATGATACAGAATTTTCTTAAAAGAAGTCGAGTATGCTTACTGAGTAGTGGAGGACAACTGTCCGATATCCTCTTTCATATTTAATAACAATATCTACCCCTAAAAAATATGTAAAAACTATTTACACCCCTTAGTATACAAGTATAACTAATAAAGATTGTGTGAAGTTATCCACACATTTCCATCCACAAATTATGACGTGGGGTAAACTACTTTTGAGATAGAGTATCTGATATACTATTTCAAGTGTGCGGCAAATAGACATTCTGTGTAACAGAGTCATCCATATATACACTTAAAACACTTGGCCGGCGATGCTACAAATATGTTTATAACAATTAAAAGTGATATAATTAAAGTGTATCTTCTTGAGGGATAGAAGGGATGATGTTCGCCTGCCCGTTTGAGGGGGTGAAAAAAATTGAAATATGATTTTGTGGATGGAAATTTTCGAACTCGACAACTCGGTACAGGGGAGGTGTGTGTAAATGAAATTTTAAGGGATGACGTCTTTCTGGATGAGTAACAACCTAGTATAGGTGGAACAGTTCGCCAGCCCGTTTGAGGGGGCGAAAAAAATTAAAATATCATTCCATGGCTGGAAATTTTCGAACTCGATAACTCGGTACAGGCGAGGTGTGTGTAAATGAAATTTTAAGGGATGACGTCTTTCTGGATGGGTAATAACCTAGTATAGGTGGAACAGTTCGCCTGCCCGTTTGAAGAGGTGAAAAAAAATAAAATATGGTTCCGTGGATGGAAATTTTCGAACTCGATAACTCGGTACAGGGGAGGTGTGTGTAAATGAAATTTTAAGGGATGACGCCTTTCCAGATGGGTAACAACCTAGTATAGGTGAAATAGTTCGCCTGCCCGTTTGAGGGGGTGAAAAAAATTAAAATATATTAAAATATGATTCCAAGGATGGAAATTTTCGAAACCGATTCCATATAACTCGGTACAGGGGAGGTGTGTGTAAATGAAATTTTAAGAGATGACGTCTTTCTGGATGGGTAACAACCTAGTATAGGTGGAACAGTTTGCCTGCCCGTTTGAAGGGGTGAACAAAATTAAAATATGATTCCGCGGATGGAAATTTCCGAACTCGATAACTCGGTACAGGGGAGGTGTGTGTAAATGAAATTTTAGGAGATGACGTCTTTCTGGATGGGTAACAACTTAGTATAGGTGGAACAGTTCGCCTGTCCGTTTGAGGGGGTGAAAAAAACTAAAATATGATTCCGTGGATGGAAATTTCCGAACTCGATAACTCGGTACAGAGGAGGTGTGTGTAAATGAAATTTTAAGGGATAACGCCTTTCTGGATAGATAACAACCTAGTATAGGTGGAACAGTTCTCCTGCCCGTTTGAAGGGGTGAAAAAAATTAAAATATGATTCCGTGGATGGAAATTTTCGATCTCGATAACTCGGTACAGGGGAGGTGTGTGCATATGAAATTTTGAGGAATGATGTTTTTCTTGATGAGTAACAACTTAGTGTAGATAGAACAGTTCGCCTGCCTTTCGTGGGGATGAACATTTTTGGAAATCAGTTCTTAGTGTCTCGGGACAGGCGTAGGGTGCGTCAATGGAATCGAGTATAGGAGGTACTGACCGTCTGATAGTGAAAAAAATTAAAAATACATTGGTTGGTGTGAGACGAAAAAGACGTTACCTGTCGACAGGCGATAATTTTATGAGTTTTCAGTAAAACCTCCATATTTCTCATAGTGTTTACTGCATAAGGCGCACATGTATGTTAGCTGTTGTTCAGTTAGCTGTTGTTTCGACATGCACCTAGTATGTGCGAATCGCATACATATTTCAGAGGATATTGTTGGCTGATTGGTGCCCTTGCAATTACAGCAGTATATACAGTTTAATGTCACGTTATCGGAATTTTCTATTAAAATTCTTCTCAATTGACCTCTATAAAGGTCTATGTCGACGGAATCAATGCATTGATTTTTACCTATTTTTTCAAAAAAATATATTAGATATACACCACAGTTATGACTATCTCGTTGGCGGCAGTGGTCTATTATTTTTGGGGTCCAGTGATTTGCTAGCGAAGTATCAACTGGTAGGTGTACTTGATGAAAGTCTTTCAAATATCTGAGAAATTTCTTTAAATACGTCTTTGTCTACTTAATCGTGCCTCTGAAAGGATTTATGAACGCGAATTCTTTTTTTGCACTGTCCGCTATTTGCAGTTTAAGGGAGTGGAGCCCGTGGTAAGCGTTATTTCGATTTTCGTAATTTAACAATGCCGTACCCATAGTAACTGTTAATAATTGATATCTGTTGTGTACATTTATTACATTGAGACATATATCGACAATAAAATTGGTTAGACACTGATCAGAATTTAAAATACAAAAATCACCGCTTGTGATTTCCTTCACATCACATGATGCCGAATTATAGAACCCAATATGGTATTTTCTTCCGATGGTCGTATAATATTCGGGATGATCGATTAAACCATTTGGGAGAATTTTAAATTTTGGATACCAATTTGTAGATGTTAAAGTATCGGTCGTACCAGAAATAAACGGCAGAATAAAAGTATAAAAGAAGCTTCTCAATTTAGGAAGCATTTCCTCGAAAATTTTTGGTTCTCTGTCGATCTTTTCTATTTTAATTCCCTTAAATGTATAAATTACAAAATGACACCACGATTTGTTCCAAATTTCTAGAAGACCTTGAATTTGCAGATAATAATCATGGTTTCTTTTCAATTTTCCCGTGTCTTTATTATGAGCAAACCATTTTTGACGGCTACTTCGGGATCCATGTCTTTAATAGAAAATGGACATTTAATTTCTACTAGTTCGTCGTTTTCAACACATCCGTCCGGCGATCCGGCTAAGAATTGATATATGGAATGGACTTTGAGTCCACATGGCGTACATTTAACTCCAAGTGATTGTTCGTAGAGCTCCAAAGCCTTTTCCTCGTAATCAATTCCATGAGATACGGATGGGATATTTGCCAGGTTAAGCGGCATTATGATTTTTCTGGCAACCTGTATGAGGGTATCATAACTACGGGCTCTGCTTATACGACCGAAATTTGAGGAAGTTACCTTAAGATTTCTCTCTTTTAACCAAGATTGGTTGCATCGTTGCCCCCTTGTCATCCGTTCCAGGGAGTCCATATCATTAGACGTAATTTGATGTTTGTTAAGTAAAAAGTCCTTACATGTGTCAAAAATATTACATGGATTTTTGTTGAGATTTGACTTGGCCAGAGTCGCTGTAGGAGTTAAGTCTGAATAGTGCTCCTGTAACGGCGCTTGTGACGGTTGAAGCCCACAAAATTTGCAAACGAAAGCTCCTGAGAACGATTTGTTCAGGTAATCATCCACGGAATGTTATTTTAATTTTTTTCGTAAATTTCATTTACACACACTTCCTCTGTACCGAGTTACACAGAATCGGTCTCGAAAATTTCCATCCTCGGAGTCATATTTTAATTTTTTTTCACG